CGAGTTCCGGGAATGTGGGTTCACTATTGTTCGTTCTATTCAGAGGTATTCCTCATCAGGTTTCCCCTATAACTGGTTCGATCCGTTTGATAAGGTCGGATTTGGATGGAAGGTTTTGAGCAGGTTCGATATCATTTCCAGTGAAAGCCATCCTATCTAGATCGTCGAATCCGTTCCGTTAGTGTCTGGAGAAAAGTACGGTAGCGTGGCTTTTGACCCTGTATAGTGTTGTCGTCCAGATGTTTCCATTTACAGGTTACTCGATAACTAATTTTTTTTCACGAATTACTGGTAGCTAAGGTAGGTAGAGAGTTGGACGATAGTTTAGGGGTCCTGAAGTATGCAACTTCTCGTTTTCAAAGGGATATTAATTACTATTGTTGAAAAACGGGTCCAATCTGACGGGAATTAAGCACCATCACCGGACTGCGTATCCTCTTGGCCGTTGCACGAACTCACCCGGTTAGCTGGAGAGCTCCATGACTCATTAGGCAGCCCAACGGACGTTCTTTGCTAGTCCTGAGCCAATCATGTCGCTTACGTATTTTGTATTTTTTACATTGAACAGCTGATATTATTGTCTCTCTTTCTTTTCATATTTGAATAAGAATAGGCAATATTGGCTGGCATTCTTTCGGTGTGTTGGAATTAATTATTGCTTTCGATGAAGAATTCCAAAAACACATCAATTGGGATGGAATCGTGATGGTTGGTTTGGATGGGTCCACCCATATGATCGCTTCTTCCGAAGATTTTCAGCGTTCGTATTGGAACAATTAAGCCTTCTCCATTGCTATGAGTCACATCACTTTGTTTGATGGTTAATGCTGNGGCGATAAAAAACCAGCGTATAAAATTTCTTTTTGGGATGATTTTTTGAGTGTAGGCGTCCGCCCACAAGCACAATGCAACCACTGGTAACAAGGATTTTCCTCTTCGCACTCTTTTACTTCGAAACGTACATAAGTGTTTGTGCGTGAGGTTGTGCTTTACACTGTGTAGAGGGAAAAGATATATAACTTCGTGATCCTTATCTTCTTTGAAATTCTCCAGTGGAAGAGCTACTCTCGGGAGGGGCTACACTCGCGTTTGGGTGATTCTGAAAAGATGTTACAAAAGGCTTGGATGATTGCCCTTGATCATTTTTATAGAGCTGTGCCATAATTAAAGGTTCGGTAGACCTGGTTGTTTCAGGCGTTAGAATTTTTAGTGTAAGTGCGAACTTTGACCTCTTTTGAATAATATTTTTATAAGTTGGACCAGTTTACTTGTTGAATGGGAAGCGCTGCACTTGCGGTTGAGATTCAGGTCTTAGCTAGCCTTTTCTGGAGCTTGTAAATTGGTGTACTGTTCCTTTGAATTACTGCGGGGTGCTTCATCCCAACTCTTCGATCGATTTTGGTCCATGACTCCTAGTTACCTTCTTTGATGTGTTGTGAGAGGTAATGCAACATGAAGTCTTGATGAATAGAAATTTTTAAAATGTCATGAATTATCTTATCTTTTCTGTTGCACCTTTTTTAGTACCTTGTTTACGACTTTGAGTCTTATTAACCTTTTTCTTCGTCGAAATAGTCATGAGACGTATCATGAGTGTTGATGAATTTCAATGTTTGCTAACCATTACTGGATCCCTTTAAGTGGGCTATTCACCCCCATTTGCCTTTTATACTTCCAAACAACTTTTATGAGGCGCCATGACTGGTTTATCTAACGTAGGTGTTTTGCTAAAAGTAATGATAAGGTAAATAGCTTGTTTATTCTGGACGCTGCAGTGTTACCAGTTGTACCAAAACGGGAAGCATTATTGTTTTTGTCTCTGATGATATAGCTGGTCAACAATTCGTATCTGGATGGATTGAAATGCGATGTGGATGTTTGTTTGCGGCGTGAATTATTCAAGAGCCAAAGGATAATTGGAACGAAATCGGACCCCCGACCCGTATACGCGATGTAATGCCTGGCCAGCTTCACTCCGTATACGTTTCCATTCCGTAAACTAAAAGGTAGAGCAGCTCTAACTTGGTTTCAACCTTTGTCCTGATCAAGCTTGTTTATTTCCTTGAATAAATTTCAAGTTTCCTTTTCATTTCGGTGAAATATCATTAAAATGTTTACTTGGGGAAGAGCGTTTGCGACTGCGTGATTAAGTGACTCACCCGTGCCCAGCTGTCCAAGTTCTTACCGAATTTTGATTCCGTTGCATTGAGTTGTTCCATGCGCTATACGATGTGCAGCTGCTTGTTTCGACTGAAAAAGCCCGCTGTGATTCAGCGGTCCGTGAAGAAATTCATGGCGAATGAGACGAAGTGCCCTGCAAATCATTCGTTCATCCGTAGCAGCGAATGGTGGCTTCAATTGGCAGGAGGTGCCATTTGATGGTTAATGTGGTGGAGTGTGGTGGCCGAGACGGCGTAGCTCCGCTAGACATCGGTTGTTACAATAAAGTGCTGAAAACAATCGCGACCTTAATCATCTCAACGCCTCTGTCACCACAAGTCGCCCTTGCTCCAACATAGTTGCCAGCGCTATCGTTGCCGATAGGCCAACTGGCGGGCTGACTGCTGGCTGGCCATCTAACTAAATGGCTGCGCCATCGATGATTCAGACCTAACATTGCGAAATGTGGCCCGAAGGTATTTGCTTTGATAAAGTTGTTCGCATAAATTTAGGATACCTTCAATGTTAGGCAAATTTTGTAAATTTTCCCAGCCGTTTTGCTCCATTGCTCGTGTCGTTTTTTTATTGAGAATTTAATTATCATCTTACACTTTCACCTGGTGATATGGTCTATAATAACTATGTATTTGGACTATTTTTCTTTGAGCCTTTCTCTTTTTTTATTCCTATGACCTCTTCACGGTCTGCTGTGCAGACCCAGCTCATTCCAATATCTTGCAATGGTTTTTCATTGAGGAACTCTTCCTTTTCTTTTCTTTTTTACTTTTTTACTTTTCTGTTTTTTTTTTCTTGAAAAACCTCAATTTCACACGGTAGCAATGAGGCGTATAGCGTACGATTTTGAAAGAGATGTTGGTATGGTTGACTGGCGACCGCGTCGGTCCATTAGACAGCGATCCTTAGCCTAGCGTCGTTGCTTTTCCCTTAGTTTTCAGTGGTTGGGGTGGCGTGGTTGTTAGGGGACGAGATAAAACGAACATGGAAATCTTCTAATTGGGAATGTGATCAATGAAATTTTTATGGGTGATTTGGATAGAACTTTTGCCCGACGTTCGGGACAACGTTGCATGAGAAGCATTTTCACAGTTGTTCCATCCATGTTATGTTGTTGAGATGGCTTTCACATCTTTTCGTCATGAGACTTTCCCATCATTTTCTTTTGATATCGTTCTTATATTAGTGTGATTATGTTAGACAATCTCCACGTTATGGTGGGATTGTCGCGAGAGCGTTCTGTTGAAGCTGAGTGATTGCACTGCCTATTCATCGAATTGAGTTATCCGAACAATGTCGCTAACAGCTGAGGTATGATTATTTTTCCGTTTCTCGCCTTTGCCGATCGTTAAAGAAGCATTGAAATGCTCAGTCGTCGGCTGGAATGCTGAAAATGCTAACCATCACTTGCAGCAATCACCCTCTCATCTTCCCCGACAATCTCTTAGCAAGCCTGCATAACCACCTCCATAGCGTTCGACAGAGCTCCATGTTCAGTGACGGCTGTTAGAGGGAGTCTCACTGAATCGCTTGAATCGTGATCTCGCTTTTCAGCGTGATCTCTTGCCCAGGCTGAGTTAACTTAAGGCTGCTCGGTTAGTCGATTGCTGTTTGTCCTAGGGCTATTCCTAGATCTCTTCCTACTTGGGACTTTTTTCTGATGTGAATCATTCTACCGTTGAGACAGCTGCCTCACTATGCCTGAGTATGTCATTATTAAGTAGCCACGAAATCCGATAGTCTACTAAATATCACGACAAGGCTCTGTTACTGCCTCGGTGTCTGGTTGTGCTCTTTAACTCCTGTTATTTAGGTATCTAAGTTGTAATAGCTCATAAGTTTGGTACTTTCTCAAAAGGATTTGTGAAGTGGACAGGTTTTCATATTAATGTGAAATCTTGTCTCTTAGCTGTGCTGGAAGAGGACTACCTCAGATTGTATTCGTGTAGTATGACCTTTCGAGTCACTTCGTTCATGTTCTAGTGCCTTGCCCTTATTGTTGGGCCTATTTGTCGACCGTTCCACCTTCCTAACAAAATTGGCTTCTTCAGTCAGAAGGGTAAATGCGGCTTCCATGGTGGGGTTGATTGGTGGGGCATTCCATCACGAAACTTGTCAAGCGGAAGTTGTTCTTACTTTCTCTGTGTTCTTGGAGAATTTGTTAGCAAACGGTTTTGCTATCGAAGGATGCGCTTCTGGGAATTCTGCACTCTGTAGATGCCCATCTTTCTCCTGAAGGTTATAGAATTGGTATGGGAAAGGTGGACGAGTGACACGTGCAAGATCCGTGGTTCTGATACCACAGGCCGAATAGGCCATTCATCTCGGCAGAATGGGCTATTCGAAGACAGCATTACTGGCTTTAGTATGAACAGGGTTCGCTTCTCATTGTCCTATTCAAGTATACAATGAAATATTGTATACAATTACGTTATATGGCGTATTTTTAGAAAAACGATCCGTCTTGAATAGTTTTCCTTTTTACATTACTGGTGTTACAATGATCGCTAATGGCTTGTATTATTGCCAAAAGTGCAGGTTGTTAAAATTAATGGGAAATCGTTCTATGAAAACACCCTAGAAGAAGAGCGTTGGCAATGAGTCAGACGTTTGACAAAACCCTCAGAATTTCAATGACGCAAAAGTGAATGTCCTTTCATTTTCTCGCGAAGAAAAACATGAAGTCATTCGTGGAAGCTGAATTCTTCTTATTGCCGTATTCGTCGTTTGTTCCGTTTTTCTTAGCAGTAAATTAATTTCATTCTCTTTTTTTTCAGAACCCACTTTTCTCGCCCGTCGCTACTCGACACCGTCGTACATACAGAATGCGTGGTTTAACGGATTCACCTGTAAATGTGGATTCTGCTGGAAGTAGTGGTGGATCGACTGAAGAGAATCATGAAGGAAATACAAGCTCTGGAAGTGCCAGCCCACAGTCAGCTGCGTAAGTTTGAGTTTATATTTTCAAAGGGTTAGCGCTCACGTTACAAATCGCTGTAGGGTGTGGGTTTGCTGGGGATATCGCAGTTTGGAGGGGAATTAGACGAGCTTTATAGTTATTGCATTGAATAGGTAACAGAGCTTCGAAACGGTCCCATCCCATCTGTGAGGATTGCTCTGGTAGGCCAGTAGCTTGCTTTGATTGCAGTTGGTTCAGTGCATTATCTCTCTTTGTTGGCTAAAAGTTTAGTTTGAGCTGGCTAAAAGCATTGTTATTCTCGCTAAATACTATTACGGTATACCTCTTTACAAGAGTACCGTGTACTTCATAGTTCACCATGCTCAGGTCACGCCTGAGAAATGTTTTTCTGTATGCTTTAGGTAATCCATTTTTGACTATCTTATGAATAAATTCTCTTATTTTCAGGCAGTCTCCTATTCCAGCGGTAGCCATCGGCCATGAAACGTACAGCGCACCAAGGTCTATTCTGACGTCCAACAACAACGAGCTCAAAGTACGACTTTCTTCTTTCTCGAAGCTGTGATTCAGCTTCTTATACATTCTCCGTAGACGAAACCTTACTCATGTGAAGACAGGGGGTGCCTACAGGAATGGAGTTTTTAATGAGCAATGATCAGGTTGATAAGGAAATTCGGAGCAGATGAACTTTTGTCAAAAGGAAGGCTGTAGAGATACTTTGCGGAGTATTAGGGAAGATAATGAGAAGTAGGTGAGGAAAGCTTGTTGAATGACGTCGTGCCTGTAGGCCTAAATGGAGTTGATCCTTCATCTTTTGAGGAGTCTGTTTGTAGCTCTGGATGAAATCTAGCCAGATTGTGGTTGACAGCTAATAAAAAAGAGCAATTGCTAGCTTTAGTCTCTTGAGCATGCCCTCTTTCGTTGGGAATAAATCTCCAGCTCGAATTACTGCTTTATTACTACCCAACTATTTCGGAACCAATTGCTTAAATGAGAGGGGGTAGAATACTGGTACGATAGTGCATCTGTTCGAGTAGGTGAAAAGTAATCTGAGTATGAATTTGTGGTAGAAAGATGTGGGCCAATGAGAGAGCGAGTTTTCTAAGCAGTGTGCCTTTTTTTCGGGTCATTTTTTAAATATAACTGGAATTTAATATAGCCATTGATTTGCAAGCGGGGGCGGCTTATTCAACAAATGTGCTCATTCGACGGAGGTGATTTGTTCCATGTTTCACTGGGCTAAAATGTTGCCTTGCTGTGAAAGCTTGGCTGTCAGTGAAGGCATTTAGTCGTGATTCAGATTGATGGGGCATATTTTGTGTGGGCATTTTTAAACTGCTACGCTTTTCAGATCCGTAGCGCTCTTAATTCTCCAGCCGCCTACCTCAGTCAAACTCCTCGAAGCTCAACCTATGTGAAGAGATTGGTGGAGAAAGGATGTAACAAGCATGCAGAGGTGAAGAATACGTTTCAGCACTGAATTTCAAATTAGTATGGTATTAGTTTGATTTGAAAGCTCTTTTTTGGGAAGCGTTCCATGTCGGAAATCCCTTCATCGATTGTTTGGGGCATTTCCTCGCGCTTTTTCTAGGATCCAAGTACTGGCAAACCAATCTAGTTGACAGGTTTTGGCTTTTTCATGTATGACAAGCGCCCTTGCGTGAGCCTCGTACATTTCTTTGATTGATAGCTCAGGGTCTATAAACTGACGATTTCGCATGCAGTTTTTCTAATTCAAATTGAGGCTATAAAGCGTAGACTGAATTCAGTTCCTGAAAAGTGGCTGTACCTGTCGGTTTTTTCTATTTTCACGCAAATTTCTGGAATACGGCTTCAAGAGTACGAACAATCTTGAGTATCGTTAAATGCATGAGGCATTCTATTCATGAAAAAGTGATATTTTCCCATTCGATGGAAGTGGTCAAACAACTGTTTCTATAAGTGAACTTCTGTTTGGATTTCCAGCAAGCTGAGCAATCATGAGGACCTGACTTAAAGACTTAAAACGCGCTCCTTAATTGTTCCTTGTTAAGTTAGCAGGCGTTTCTGAGTCATTTCAAAGTTTAACTACTTTTCAGGATATATTATCGCCGGATGTCCGTCGTAAGGCTGAAGCGAATCTGAGTCGTACTCCATCAGTGCAGTCCCTGCGTGGTTCGATGGGAAATCTTGCCGGCTGGCGAGGATCAGTGTCCAATCTTGCGGAAGATTCGCTGAATATGAATCGATTCAAGAGCTTGGTACGTTGTACCATCTGATTCCATTTTCGATATTTTGCACAGATTTTTTTATGGCTCTGTGTTTTTTTTTTTCTTTGAAAATTACCTTTCGAATTGCCACTTCAGAATCCAAGCTATCGCTCGTTCAACGCGAAAAAGAATACGGAAAAACAGCAAGAAGTGATTGATCGCCTGAGTCGACTGCGAGAAAATCTTCGATCGAGGGAGAATTTTGTAGAGCGAGGTGTACTACCGAAACATCAAGTGACTCCGTCATCGACTGCCGTGAAAACTTAAAAAAAAAATCGTTGCTTGCCACCTAGCCAGCTAGGGTCTTGAGAACGTGTCTCAAAAGCCTTTTATTGAGTTGTGGCTTTATACACAAACTCATTTCCGTGTTTGTTGTGCTCCATTTTCTATCCATGACTCGCTAAAAACCTTTAACAAATAACTTTTCAATATCCATGTATGTATCTTCTGACTTTTCATACTTTTTTGTTCATGCTCACAATTGAGTTTTCCGAAACCATCTATGGTAGAAGTGAAATTGAAGTGGTACCTGCCCTTAGGATTTGAGCAGGCGCTTCAAAACTCATGATGTTGTGCAGGCATCGCGATCGTGATGCAAAAAGTGCGTATCGATTGCTTAACTGCGCGCCTGTCGACTTTTTTAGTGTTTTGGGATATGGGGCTGCTACGCAGTCACGTATGGGGCTGCTACGCGGTCGCGTAGGCGCTGCAGTGAAATGCATCGTAAGCGAAGCGTACTCCCTCATCTAACGCGTACTTAACCGTGACGTAACAAACTAATAGATTCCTTTTTTCAATCTTTAATTGATACTTTCATGCCTAGGTATCAAATGAACTTTTTATGCATATTAGAAAGGCCCTGTGTTCGGTAATGACACAATGATAGGCATATTCTTCTGTTCTTTTTCTATCATGTAGATAGTGATCATGTGAATTTCGTCCCTATCCTGCTCGACAAGAAGCTTCATATCGTGTTTATTTGTATTCATTTAGCATGTAAGAATAGTAGTAAATGTAGATGGCTCTACATACGGTCATTATACTAGCTTCACTACGTGATACGGTTGTTTTTTGTCTATGTAAAGATGTACCCTGTATTTAATCACTTGACTGCATGTTAATGAAGTCATAAATGACAGTTTTGATGTCAAGTTTACGAGTTTTTTTTTNGTGGAAGGGCGTTGGAGTGAAGCGATTTCAGTGAGTTGGTTTCCGGAACAATAGTATTCGAATAAAGAATCTGACATGCTCGCGGTCAGTGATACCTTCGCAGGTTTACGCCATTAACTCGCATTCCGATTGAAATTCTGTGGTTTACAATTAACACCTGGGAGCAAATTTCCAATTTAAGTCGAATTCGTTGTTTGCCGATGCAAACCAGAATTGAGTGTTTATCCTGATAGCGAGGTCAGACATTAGATCCAATAAGGAAGTTGTTTTTGTTATCAAACCAATGGATCCATTGGTCCTGCTCCTGCTTTCGTTCCGTTTTGACAGATGAGTTAATCCCTAAGTGATCAGGGTTAATTAAGCTCTTCTAAGATAAGCCATGCATTCGGCTTGAAGTCGTAATCGTGCAACTGGGATAAACAGGCTGCACAATTACCTGTAGAACCGAGGCAGTGTTTATTCGGAAAAAAATATGACAACCCTGATATGAAAGGAATGAATAGGATTTCGCCTAGACTGAGGTAAGTCGTGGACAAACGCATGTGCTAGGGTCAGTGACCACGCGACTGGCCGATTCTTGCGCTGCCATAGGGAAGCCTATTCGTTACTCCATTGTAGTATTAAATGTTCGAGCTTAGGTGAGTACAGCTGTTAGAGTGTAGAGAGAGCTCATGAGAGGTGGAAAATAGCGGTTAAGGGGGAGAGAGCTTATTGCACTATACTACGATTTTTGTGATGGGCAATTCATAGGTTATTATGCGAAAAGGTAATTGACCACATGGCAATATGCTGTGGCCTGCTCAAGTCAGTTCCACGAAGGTGATTGAGCATTTCAACTTCCGATACGTTGGGGTAACTCAAGTACATCAGATTATTCCTTAATCGCAGTCAATCCCATTGAAGCACTCTATGCTACATCGATATATGGGATACTCAACAATCAGCAAAACATATCTTTCACGGTGAATAGCTCTAAGGAGTAGGTGACAAAGTGTTGGTGATACTATGGCCTTGAGGTTTATAGGATAGTCAATTCATGCATTCTTCCTGGGTCGTTTAATTAGGAGCAGATACGAAGCAGCTTGAGAATATCAAAGCACTGTCTTGTACATCGCTTAGGCGGGTGTGGTGCAGGAGGAACGAAATCGCCGCGTCGCGGCGGGAGAGACGCCGCGCGCGAAAGAATGTAGCACAATGCAGCAGCAAGTATGAAATTCAGGAACAAAATAAATAGCAGTAGAATCATTAAGTAATAAATGGATAGCGATTGAGCTGTATTAGCTAGAACTGCTATATCGAGGGAATTGGTACGCGACGTCGCGTGCGGCCGATCGATTACACAAAACCGTTCCTACTGCCCGTCT